CACACATATATATATATATATATATATATATATATATATACATACACATGTATATAGAGGATTGGATATTGAATGGATAATGTTTTGATGCCTGATGTTGAATTTACGTGGCTTGTGATTTAAGCAGTCAAAGGCCATGAATATCGAGTTGACCAATAACACCCAAGTTGGTATATTGATATAACGTAATTGATTATATATTAATTCTAAAATTCTCCAAATATTTACTATTTAATATCAATTTTTAAAAAATATATAAAAATTGTAATTTAAAAATATTAAATAGTAATCAAATATAATACAATTTAAACTAAAATTAAATATAATAAAAAAATATAAACTAACATTATAATATACAATATTAAATATTTATTATTCAAAATTTAATTAATTTAAATAAATTTAAAAGTACGTTAATTATATCAATAATAAAATAAGACGAGACGGGTTTAAAAAGTAAACTATCAACAACTCTATATACACTTCATAATCCGTTAATTATGACATACTAACGAATAACTTACTCGTATATCTATCTCTCTACGAGATTTTTGGTGATTTTGTTCTTCTATTTCTACTTGAATTATTCCAAGTCGTGGTTAGCATCAAAGAATTTCAACCTCCCAACACCCTTTTGGCTTATCTTCCACATACAACAACATATTCTAATTTAATTACAACCTCAATTTTAATTATTTAAATATATACATATACACACACACACACATATCTTGAAGAAAAATATCATCAAATATATATGTTTATATAATGGAATTTTTTGCTCCTCGATTATTTTTTTTTTCTTGGGTACGAGCAAATTTTTTTTTTTTTAAAATAGTTTCGAAAATAAGACGAATTTAAAAAATAAATAAATTGTTTAACAGATGTTACGTAATTTCGATATTATTTTTATTTTATTAACGTTAATAATTTATTTTTAAAATAAAAAGTATAATATATTTATATGCTAAAAATATAATAATTACAATTTTTTTTTTTTAAAGAATTGAACCAAACTTTATAGTGATGTAATTATGACGCATACCCAATTTATTAGATTCCTTTATTTTTCAACTTGAAGTTTGAAAAAATTGACCCAAGAGAATATATATAGTGTCGCTTTACCTAACTATAATACGAGACAAAATTCAATGCCATCGTTTTCCCATGTGAACATAGGGGCACCACTAGCTAGGGCATATACATACATATACATACATATATATATATGTATATATGTATATCTATATGTGTATGTATATGTATATGTAGATAAATGTGTTTGTGGGTGTGTGTGATAAATTAG